GGAAAGTGCAAAGTCTCATACTACTTATCCTGATGCAACGTTTTCTCATGGAATAATCGCACATTGCATCTCATGCATACACGAAGAGTCAGAAAACCTGAATCTCTTATTAATGTGGGGGATTGTTGGAATTTTACGTGCAAATCCCTTGTAAAGTGAATAAGAGGTGTGGATCAAAGTGTCCCACATAGGATAAAAGAGGTGATGGGAGATGGTTTATTTTGAGGAGCCTCTCAAATGGGTTTGGGCCCCAAGGGGTACTCCACTTTTGTGGAAGGGAGAGGACCTATGCCAAGCTAGGTCGGTCTCCCCCCCCCCCCCCCCCCGCGCGCGCGCCACCGTCTGTCCGTCCGGCTCGGTTTCGGGTCCATTTTTTATTTTTTTTTTCGAACAGACACATTATTAGAAATTAATTAATTATATTTTTTGGACAAACAAACATGTCTGTTCGTGAGGTTCGGTTCGCCCGAACGAAAACCGAAACCCTTTGCGACTGTTCACGAATCGAACCGGTTCAAGTAAACCTTCGCTACTATTCACGGAAAGCGAGTCTTCATTACTCGTAACTCTTCATTTTCGCCAAAGGACCTACGCCAACCTAGGTCGGTCCCCCCCTCCCCCCCCCCCCGCGCGCGCGCCGCAACCGTCCGTCCGGCTCGGCTCGGTTCCGGGTCCATTCTCTATCGGTTTTTATTTTTTTTTCGAACAGACACGTTGTTAGAAATTAATTAATTATATTTTTTGGACAAACAAACATGTCTGTTCATGAGGTTCAGTTCGCCCGAACGAAAACCGAAGCCCTTCGCGACTGTTCACGAACCGAACCAGTTCAAGTGAACCTTCACTACTGTTCACGAAAAGCGAGTCTTCATTACTCGCAACTCTTCATTTTCGCCACTTTAATATATGACCAAACAGTTTAGTTCGGAATATATACGCAGTGACACTTCGTGGCATTCATATTCCTTTCCCGACGCACTAAAGACACATTCACTTCATCATTGTCATTTTGTGCGATTGTCCATGCAAAATTGCGTTCGAAGGAATCCTCTGGATACGTACCGCTTCAGAGGAACGAGATCCGTTCTATCCTGGGAGACGATTGTCCAATATCCTCGGGTACTGATTGAGGGGCCAAATTCGTCTTAAGGACACGACGTTACTTCGTTGGGCTCGGATCAACATTCTGTTTATTTATTTGTACTGCTTTCAGGTTAGTTTTCCTGACGTTTGATTTCAATTTCTAGTATACGAACATAGCCAACAACAAACCACACCTTCTCTCTGAATTCGCTTCCAGAGAAAGTTGGTTGTTTGCATCACAACTGGAAGCCAAGCCCTCGATGAACTTTTAGGCGGTAATAGACTTTTTTTTGCAGATTATGTATATTATTCTTCATTTGTTTCAGCAAAAACAACTTTCTCTGGTTCGGCAATGTTAAACAGGTGGTATTGAATCTCTAACAATTACAGAAGCACTTGGCGAATTTCGGTGAGAAGTACAGTCCAACAACGTTACCTTTGATGAACTTTTACTTGCTTTTGTTATTTGGTTTTGAATCTCCCACAAACTCGTGCATCCGTTAGAAGATCTTATCCGATTTAGCCCTTTGATGGTTGCTCACTGAAAGACAGCAATTTGGGGACGGCACTAAGCTCATACTGATTCGTGCAAACTAGTGATACATAAGAGTAGTTGCAGTCCATGAGTTAGGAAGAAGAGGATTTTTTGACGACTTTGTCTTTGATTTATTTGTTCCGGTCGGAGCTGATCCGAGTGGTGGTGTATTCATATTAGACCCAAAAGAAACCTGCAGGTGGGCATGTTCTGGCTCTTGCAGCCACAATTAGGTTGATGTTTAGGAAAGGCAAAGGTGAGCAATGCGTCTGCAAGGTTTTGGATGCCCCAAACCTACCCGAAGCTGAAGCTATATCCTTTTTGTGCCGGATTTTCATCTAGCTATATACTTTACTTCATTGAATTTTACCCAATTATACTGCAGAGACCAGGTAAAATATCTAGGAATCTATATCAAAATATGTGAGAAAATCGAGTGCGAGTCTACGTATGGATAGGTGGAGTCCTGATTTAAGTATGATACTTACAGTATACCTAATGTTGAAAGGAGATCCATGGATGTGTCAAATATGAATATTGTGTGGAGGAATTAAATAAGAAAGTGGATGTCGAGAATACTTCTAAGCATGACTAGTTGATTAGCTATGCAGCCTGTGCTATGTATACGATGTACATCTATCAATACCATCACTTAATTTCACTCAAAAAATTTAGCAAGAGCTCATCATGTCAATAAGAGAAGACCGAGACTTGGTCCATGTGCGTTAGACTTGACGAACACGTTTTTCAGATAACACTAGGTGGCATGGCCGCAAAGGACTAAAGAGGTCCTCGCAAGCGTAACAATAAGATCGTGCACTAAAACCGATAATGAAAAAGGGCGCCATGTCCGGACGGGCGGGATGAGCGAAGGGTGCCATGGACTGAGGAAGATCCCGAGTCTCATCTAAGACAATTAAATGCACCCCGAGGTTCTGCCGAGGAACTAGGGGACCTTCTCGAGCACAGGATAGGCAATTGAGAGATAGAGCTAGCCTATTCCCTTTTTTGTTGATCTGCAATTTGATATTGGCTGAGTATTGACAGCTTCCCTCCATCTTCTTTTTCCTATTAAGTTTGTATCGGCACGTGTCAAGTTCCCGTTGACATCTTAAAAATTGCAAGATTGACTGCTGCTTTAGCCCTAATGTCTAACATGCTATCATTGTCTATTATCGAAGTTCATATGACCCTTCATAATGCGTCAGGTTAACTCAATTTCCATATGAGAACCGGCACGCTCCAAGTTATTTTGGTCTTCTTTTTTCCTCATTTAACAATATCGTTCCGGTCTCATTTCCTAGTAGAGATAACAGTAACACAATAGACATCTAAGCGAAAAAATGTAACATAAAATAAACTCTGCATGATGGCTAACTGAAATGCCAGAAAGATATTATTGCACATAGCATGATCAGGTTCTGTAAAGGCTTGGTTTTATAAGCAACAGGAACAGCTGCATAAAGCAATGTCATCTCAAACTCTCAACGTAGAGCAAACGACCATGAGAGCCTGAAAATTGTCAATATATGAGAAAGGGTGACTGGGTTATAAGCAATAGAAGGCCATTCAATAGCTAATGGCCTGGCCAAAAAGGGCCATAAACCATAAGACTCGAGAGTGCGAGGACCGGTTCGCAAGCACTCCCAACTCTAGGCATGCTTTGGACTCCTTAGTCTCCGCATCCCCTTTTGAATGTCGTGCCGCACACTTGGCCGTAGCCGTCCACCCTAGGAACCTGGCTTCACCTCATTCATTGGGTGCTCATATCACCAAAACCTCCAGTGCTAGTAAAGAAGCATCCTGAGTGGAAAAGAAGGCAATGTTAAGAGGTGAACAATTTGGTGCTCGAAAACCATTGGAAGAGCAACATTGCAGGTTTTAATGCACATGTCAAAACATGCATACAGATAAAGATTGCCACTATTGTTGAGGAAAACTCCTATTAATTTTGAAGTTGACAAAACCTTCTATGTTATTGTAAATCTGATACTTATTCTGAATTATTCAAGGTCTGTATATTCTGGAAGCTCAGAAGAAAGTTATTCAGACTTTACAAGCTGTCAAGTATATTTTTGAAGACCCACATAATCGAAGTTCTGAGATTCAGAAGCAGAAGATATTCAGATGCAGATGCAGAAGTTATTCAGATGCAAATGCAGACGAAGAAATTATTCAGACGAAGAAATTCGTCGACGCAGAAGAAATTATTCGGACGCAAATTCTTCGAGCGCAGACGCAGGAGTTCTTCCGATGCGCACGCAGAATATCTTCGCACGTGAGAATTCGAACGTAACACAACAATAGTGATCCGGCATGGATTTCACGAAGGAATGTTCTGATTGTCTCAATCTGAATCAAACTGATTGACAATCAAACATCATGACAAGAATGCATTACAACGGACAAAGTTCTACTTATGGAAACCAAGATTCTGATTGTATGGGCGACCAGAATCAGCGGGATTCAGAATCTGTCAACCAACGGCTACTCAATTTCTTACTATACAAATCTGTCCAAGGTAAAGATTGGAAGATGATCCTACGAAAGGCGTCCAACGGCTAGTTTGGAAGCGAGAGGAGTATTTAAGGAGATCAACGAGCGGCGGAAGGTAGTACGGAATCAAGAATCAACAAGTCCAAAGTCGAGCTTAATCCAATCATTTTTCTCGTCATTCTGAGCCAAATATTAAGATCTTGAGGGACACTTTGTAAGAGTGATTGTGTGAGATAGAGAGTCCTATCATACACAAGAGTGTTAACACTCAGAAGTTGTAATTCCTCTTGATTACATAGTAAAATCCAAACAAGAGGTCAGAAGCGTGGGAGAGTGGACGTAGGCTGCTATAAGCCGAACCACTATAAACTTGTGTGCGATTCTCTTTCCCTTATCTCTTACTTTACATTCTGCACATCAAGAAAGCACCGTCTATATAATCTGTCTTGAATCCGAACTTTATTCGGACTCTTCTCGTGATTTATTTCGTTTCCGCATAAATTACTAAAAATTGTTTTAGATCACCTATTCACCCCCCTCTAGGTGATCCTTGCTAGCTACATCAACTATAACCCTAGATTAACAAGTTAGGCTTGAAACCAATTTTTCCAACTCATGCCAAACATCAAAAATGGGGAAAATATCTTCATACAGCTAATTTCTCATAAATTATACCGGGACTGCAATCCAGACTCATTTTTTAAGCTATTGGCAAATGATACCGCATATTCAATGTCAAAAACTTAGACTTGTCCTTCCACGAGCCCTAATCAAACGACAAACGTGGGCCGCAGAATCGTGAGTACATCCCGTATATCGCGACAATCGTCTCCGCGTCCTTTTTGTTTTTTCTCTCGTAGCTAAGCCTCATTATATGTTTTGTAAGGTACCGTGACCCCATTGAACCAATCTTGGATGATGACAAGAACTAAACTTGCCTGATTCAAAGAGGACTGAAGTATCTTCTTATGATCCTGGAAATTCCCATGGAAAGGCGCCACCTTGCCTTGAGAAACCACCTAGAGCTCGTCCATGCTTCCAGATATTACATGCTCATTGTGACTAACCTGCAAATCAAGGTGAAAAGAGGGCTATTAGCTGTGAAGACGATCAATCATTGGTCAAATTCAAGTATTTTGTCAAGAAATCAATCTCACCATCAGAATTCCTCCTTGGAACAAGACCAGACCTTGAATGAAAGCCTCAACTGCATCCAAATCCTGCAGTTTGGGATAGTAAAGAACGCAGAATCATACTCATCAATCCTTAGACAAGAAACTAGCAATTTACAAAGATAACACTTTAGTAGTCACTGGTCATTAAAGCAGAACTTAAAGTCCACATTTATAAACAAAGAGATTTCCGCATAAATTAAGTGCAAAGCCCTGTACTGCCTGTAGGCACAATTATCTGAACAACTTGGTATTATACACTTCTATAATACAAAAACACAGATCAGGCTGGCATAACTATTCTATTCCCAATATTTTGCAAGTTGGAACAATTACACTGGTTTCTATTTCATTATAAATTAGAAGCATGGCGATAGAGGCTCCCCGAAGTTGTGATCACTGATTGCTTCTTCTGTATTTTCAATGTCAAGACCAGATTCCAATAAGTTCTACTAGTGCAAGACAATAACAAGCTAACTGAAATAGTAATAAAAGTCACAAGGATGAAATAAATGAGTTAACTTACCAGATGATTGGATGGCTCGTCAAGCAAATCTATGTGAGGTTTCTTGAAAGTTATCTCGGCAAATGCAACTCTGGTTTTCTGACCACCTATTGATATGGTCAAAGCACCATGTTATATGTGCAATAACATCCAAAAAGCCTCAGAGAAAGTACAGAGTGAACTGCAATTCAGATTGCAAATTGACTAACCTCTAATAGAGCTTCACAATGTCATACGAAAATTGCTTCAACAAAAAATTTACAGATCCAACAGTAGCAGAGAGGGAGGAGATGTATCAGACAAGGTATACATTGGTTGAAGTGCAAGATTTCCAGTTACACCAAAGGAACACAAGTGAGCTTGAAGCTTTTGTTCCGGAACTCCCTGTGGGAAGAATGCCACATAAGGTCTTTTCAGACAAAATGACAGAATGTATGACGAAATCTTATTCCGCAGTGGAGTAAATGCAAACAACTGATTGCTGAATATATTTGCCTCGGAGCTCATTGCTGACAATTCGAACACAGAGGCAGGCAGCATATTGTTACAATCTCAACCAAATAAATATGAGTATATTGGCTAAAAATTTCTAGCAAGCTGTAAGTAACAGTTCCTAACCCAACAGAGATCAAGGCCCAAACGGAAGGTGGTTTATGAATATCGATCCTATCATGAATTGGAGTTGTATTGAAAGCTTGGAGCCATGAGCTGCCCCAGACAGACTACTTCACACTACGAAGGATCATCATCAACAAAAAGAAGGTTCTCGATGATAAAGAAAACCATAAAAAAGAAAAACAGCATCCCCTTTCTTCACAATCATATCACAGCTTCCACATAACTAATCCTATTTTTAGATTTTGAGAGGGATTATTCTTATTTAGATCATAATCACTAGAAGAAAATTTAGAACATATCAATACACCAAATAAAATTAAACGCTTCTTCTTTTTCTGTAAATTGCAAAAAATGAGACATAACATTGACATACTAGGAAGAGGATAGTGCTGTCAAAATAGGGATCTGGATCCCCCATTCTTCCTACTGCATTTGCTTATAAGCATCGAATTGGAGTGCAGAAACGAAATCGATGCGTTCAAGACCAAAGGACTTACCCAAACCCATAGAAATCTGACCGTAGATGGAAGAACGAACCGCGGCAGTCAGCAAATGAAAGCGAAAGTGGATCGATTTCACTTCATTGGATATGCACCCCAATCAATGCGGATGGTGAGGGATTTCTTGGATTTCCGGAAATTCACGTGAGACTTCTCCACGGGAAAGTATCAGTTTGTGTTGAGCATCGAATCGAGGAAGCAGAAATGGAAATCGATGCCTCCAAAAACCATAAACTCATCCGAACCCTAGAAAACCCACTGTGCATGGCCGAATCAATTCACCAGATCTGATGGCCATCAATGTCGACGAGAGGGATGTCTTGGATGAGGGGCCAATAGTCGCCACCGAGGTTGGAGCATCGGTCTTTCAGAATCTCGCATCCATTTATCCACAATTCTTGGAGGGAGGGAGGGAGGCCATCCTCTGGCAAGTACCTCAACTTCGGGCAATCGTAAATCTCCAAACTTCTGAGAGAGGAGAGGCGGTTGCGAAGACCGCTCGACAGTCTTTCCACGTTCTTCATCCGTCCAATGGCAAGTTTGGTTAGAGAGGAAGGGAAGAGAAGACTCCACGCATCCTCCTCGTTCTCCTCCGAAGGAAACCTCACCTTCTCTCCCTCCCCTCCCATGCTTACTCCGTCAATGTACAGTCCCTCGAGGGAAGTGAGCATGTGTAAGCCCCATTCTCTCATTGGCTGCTTCAGGTTCTCGCACTCCCAAATTTCAAACGACCGCAAATTGGGAGGCAAATCCCCTTTGGGGAAGCGTTCGATATTTTCACAACCCATAATACGTAGATTCCGGAGGGAAGTAAGACGATGCCACTCATTTGGTAGGGACTTTATCTTCGGGCACCAATAAAGGTGAAGTCTCGATAGGGACATGGGAAGGGGAGGGAAGTCGTCCACCTCCAATTCTGGACAGCAATTTATATCCAATTCAGTGAGATTTTTACAGCTAGCAATGTTACAGTTGGCGATAGACTTTATCTTCGGACATCCACCAAGAGCGAAATATGACAGGGTGATGGGAAGGGGAGGCAAGTCCTCTATCTCCAGTGCTGGGCAGTTTTGTATTGTCAAACGAGTGAGCTGGGCGAGCGTGTGAAGACACTGAGTTAGGCTTCCCAGATTCTTACAGTCGGAAATAACCAAAGATTTCAGTGATTCTACGGTGATCTCTTCCAGCGACTCCAGTCCCTCATACTTCTTAATATAAAGTTCTCTCAGAGCAACGAGTCTACCCTCGGCAAACGGAAAGGATATCCGAGAGTCCTGATGACTAATCCCAAGATATTCAAGTTGTGACATTGTGTTATTGCTGTCGGAGTCATCTTGAGGAATGGTTAGTCCCATGATTTTTGGACAATTCGAAATGGTCAAACGTCTAAGTGCATGCATCTTGCTCGGAAGCCTTTCTAAACTCGTGCAATTCGTCAATTCCATCCTTTTAAGGTTGCACAACAGCTCTGTCTCTCCTTCGTCTGCCATAAATGATGTTAATTGAGGACATTTTTCGATGACTACACTCTCGAGGCAAGTAAGATTTTGCGTTTCATTTCCATCTTGCCACAAGTAGGTTAGCTTGCCACAGCTTCTTATATCGAGCTCCTTTAGCTTATGCATGCAGCTCATAAACCCAGGATCAAAGCAAACAAGCTCTGCAATATTTTCTATTTTCAATATGGTTAGAGAAGTTAGGTTGACCAAGCTCTTTAAGATCTCCTTGTTACAATCCTCAAAATATAACTCACGGAGAGATAAAAGACAAACCACACTGGTTGAGTCATTCAAATGCGGGCATGAATGAATTTTAAGCTTCATGAGACTATTAAGTTGACAAGGCAATGTCCCGACCAATGAAGGACAACTCTGGACAACAAGATGCTGAAGACAAGGGAATGGGACTTCTTCTTTTGGGCTCCCGGCGTAAGGAAACCAATCCTTCCATGCCAACATCTCTTTCAACTTCAAAGTTGTTAAGGATGAGAAAGGCCTTTTACCTCCGTAAAATTCGAAGCCTATCATTTTCACTGCATGCAGACCCTCAAGAGATAATTCCTCAAGTGAAGGTAGTTGTCCAAGTGGGGGCAACGATATAACATTAGGACAACCCCCCAAGCACAAAGACACTATCTTGGAATATGATGGACCATCTAACCATGAAGGGAATATTGTACCACCATAGTTCAAAATAGTGAGATTTTCAATATTAGTGGGAGGTCGCAGAGAGTCAAGCACTTGTGCTTCGTGCTTATGATTCCTGAGATTTCCCAAATGTTCATCCCAATGCAAGGATAAGTTGGTCAGGCCTCGCTTTTGAACCAAATTAGCATCAACTGCATCTCTAACTTTCTCCACATTTTGCAATTCTGATATGAGTAATTCTCCTTGAAGATGTGGCAAGTTCTTTAACTCCTCTAATTGCGACCCTTTCTCTGGTCCTGCCACAAACTTGGACAAGATAGTAAGATTTTTCAAATTGCTGATACCCAACGGCATCTCTTTTAGACGCCTTGTATCTCTAACATCAAGAAACTGTAAGCTGACCAACTTTGTGATACCTTGAGGCAACTTTGAAAGGTTATGACAACTTCTTAAGATCAAAGCTTGTAATTTGCACAAGCCGACAATTGACTCAGGTAGCCTTTTGATATAACTGTATGAGACGTTGAGATTTTGAAGATGTTTTAAATCACCAACACAATTCGGTACCTCTCTAATTAAACAATAACATAACGAGAGCACCCTTAAGTACTTCAATTCTGCTAGCAAGTCATGTAGCACCTTGTTGGAAATATGGAAAAAGCCCACACTAGATCCAATAGGCACTATAATTAAGCTTCTTAGTGCCTTCATTCTGTGATATGCTCTCAAGTCTTTTGATGTAACGTAAGGCAGTGAGACGAATGATGCGTAACGAGTTTTTTCAAGAGATGATGCATCATGTTCATTGCTTGCCTGCTGAGGCTCCCCTGAGCTAAAGCAAGTCTCACCAGCAATTGACTTTGCTAGATCATTCAAAAGATCATGCATTGAAAACTTAGATGCGTTAACACTTGATTGTTAAAGAAATGATCTGGATACTAACTCATCAAAGTGATTCCGTCTAGATCTCAAGATATTGTCCTTTGCGTTTCGTCCATCTATAAAGCCCTCCGCTATCCATATGAGTACCAGCTCATCCCTCTCGATTTCATAATCTTTGGGAAATACTGCACAATAAGCAAAACATCTCTTCAAATAGGAAGGAAGATGTACATAGCTCAATTTTAAAACGGGGAGAACCTCATCCTTTTGTGCCGTCGGAAGATCCCATATTCTGTTATTTAAGGTATCTTCCCATTCATAAGGATTCCTTTTATTACGTAGGGCACCGCCCAACATCTTCGCTGCCAAAGGTAAACCTCTACATCTTTCAGCTATTTTCTTGCCAATTGTTTCAAATTCCGGGTGCCTCTCAAAATTTCTTGCTCCCAGAGCATGATAGGCTAATAAGCTAGTACAGCTATTAATGGACAACTCCTTCAAAGGATATGGCGAAGCTCCTGTTATGGAAGCAACAGGACGGTTGCGCGTCGTGATGATGATCTTGCTTCCCTTAGCCCCTGCTTCAAATGGCTTTAAGAGGGATGTCCATTCTCCATACTTCTCATTCCAGACATCGTCTAAAACCATAAGAAACTTCTTCCCAGACAATTCATTTTTCAACTTAACTTGAAGCCAGTTAAGATCTTTGTCCTTGCAGGGCCATTTGCTGATCGACTGCAAAATAGTCTTCGTTATGTCGAGAACATCAAAAACATCCGAAACACAGACCCATGCTCTCCTCTCGAAACAGTTGTTCACTCTAGGATCATTATACAGCCGTTGAGCCAAGGCTGTCTTTCCAACACCACCCATTCCAACTATGGGAACTATGCTTAGAGTAGCATCGGAATTTTGGACGTCACTTATCAATAGTTCGAGTACCTGTGCTTCTTCTTCCTCCCTACCGAAAAACTGAAGCTCCGGTAAAGAAGTGCTGGGGAGCCTTTTGTTGGTGTCGTTGGATCTATCCACGACATTCTCTCTCAAGCTTAGATGAGCCTTCCTGTTGAGAATCTTTTCCAACCTGCCATTAATCTCTTGTACCTTGGTTTCAGACACGTGCGAGCTCGATTGGTTAAAGAAAGAGAACTTCCTTTTCAACTGACCTCTGCTTGTGCTGGATTCTGCGTTCAACTTGGCCTGAGTGGCTTCGATATCAAACTCATCGAGCAAGTCTTCCATGTCATAGGCCAAGTCCCTAACATCGTCCAGCCACTGCTTCACTAGACGGTCACCCCTCAGTTGCTTGTCCTCTGCACCATCCAGCACGGCATTGATTGTTTCCAGCATCACCTTCCACTCATCAAGGGCTTTGCTGATTCCTTCTCGCTGCGCATAGTCCAATGTCAGAGAAGTCAACTTGTCGAACAAGACCTGAAAGAAGGAACCCAAAAAGATCTCTCCAATGGCCATGGGTGAATTAGTCACTGTAGAGAACAACAAGGGTTACGGGGAAGCAAAGTGATGATGAGCTAACGGAGAGAGAGAAAAAACTATAAAGTCCAGGAAGACCAAGACTTTCACCTACCAAAAAGATCAAACAAAAATCAGAGGTTAGAGAAATCAAAATAAATATACGTTTTGTCCACAAGTGCTTGTTTCTTAATATTTGGAGAATATCCCTAGAGACTTTACTGTATATCATTTGCCTTTTTGTCCGGAAAGTGAAGAAAAAGTGAAAAAGAGCTAATGGGAAAGAAACTTCAATAGATTCCAGGAAGAGCAAGACTTTGCAGGACGCAAATTGCAGTTTGTTGCTTCACTTTTCACATCCCTCCTCTTTCATCCCCATGGGAATGTCTCTTTTTCCTTTACCAGTAGAACTTCCACGTGTGTCTTGCTTAAAACTAATGATCGTATAACTCTCGTCCAACTCTTTTCATGTTCATTCATATTGTGATTCTTAAGTCATTAATCTCTGTTCTTGTCTATTATAATTATGTCTAGATTTTCATATATCTTTTCAAATTTAAGTTCAATAAAAGAAGAAAACGCAAAGAGAGAAACAAAAAAGAAGAAACAGCAAAAAAAGAAACAAAGAAAAAAAAATGCAGGAATGAAACCTGCGAGAGCACCACCGTCCCATGGCCATTACCACACCGTTGCCGTCAGCACCGCTGCTAGGGTGACATTTCCAATGGCACCACCTTATAGTCACCTTCGTAGACAATATTTTTCTTGAGATGTTTTACTTAGAGCGGTTTAGGAGTTAGGGATGATGATATCGTAACTACCTAAGCTTTTGTTCATTTTACAATCGAGAACCTACACTTTTTGTTTGTTCAATCAAGTACCTCAATTTTTCAAATTTGGCTCACTTTAAGGCATCCATTAAATCAATTTCTGTATCATGTGATTTTGCTGGCATGACTCATTTACCCAAACAAAAGTTAAGTCTAATAGCTTAATGTGGCTCGCTTACCCTGCATATTGGATGATGAGGAGAGAGAGTGTGTGTGTGTGACTCAGACGATCTAAACCGTCTAATATGTCTGCTTACACGACAGCATCTCAATATACAAGATCGGATGCCAATGTGGACAGTTTATGGCTATTTAACGGCGTTAGCATCCTATCAACATATTTCGTCCACAATTCTAATGGAAGCCTCGACACACATTTCAAATGTTGAGGTAATTGATTGAATGAAAAAAACTTTAGAGATTTGATTACGAAAAAGAGTAATAGTTTGGATACTTGTACGATGATTGCTCTAGATTCAAATCTCAAAGGTACTTTTGTTTACGAGATATTTATTCTACAAACTCATCCCCTTGATTCATTGCTTGGTCTCGCCTTAATATTTTTCTTTAGTAAGAATATTCATTCTTTCATGTGAAGGAGAACAGGAGATGGTGTTGTTAATTTCAAGCGCCAAAAGATTTCAGTGGCTAAATGGCGAGCAGATTGGGAGGCTACAAAGTTCAAGCTTTACACTCGAAATATTTTCGTGGATTATCAAACATTTTATTGAAGATAGAATTTTTCTTTGTACTTGATTTTCTTTCGATTGGACATTATATTAATAATATTATCATCAGACGTAACTGTGCGGACACCCATAATATAAAACTTTACTAAGAATTCTTAACCAATTACAACGAAACTGCCTAAATGATATTTTTTGTAGATAATTTGTTCCAACTCTTTGAGTGATGGATCGATATCATCCTGAACATCTTTTCTGACCCACAAGAGACAAAATTGATACCACAAGGAACATATTGGATGTCAATGTAAATAGTTAAGGGCTACTTAATAGCATTGGTGTCAAATCGACATTTTTCGTTCGCGATTTCAATGGAGCTCTCACGTTGACCCACATTTGGAGTGTCAAGATAATTTATTGAACTGGAAAAAAAAACTTTAGATACTTGATTACCAACGCATAGGTAAGAAATTTGATGCACCTCATTATCTGGTTTTATTTCAGTCAATTTGAATATCTTTGGAAGCCATAGATATAAGAATGAAATTGATGGGGGTTCCTTTTATGGAGTTTTTGCTTCAACCACTCGCATGTAAAATCGAACAAGCGACTCCTCTTGAATGCAAATGCTTGAAATAAGGCAAAATCAAATTGTGTGTTTTCTTTTTTATATAAGCCAAGAAATATTCTCTGATTTTCTTTGTCATGTATTACTCCTAGGCGGTTATAAATGATAGTTGTAAAGTCATATACACATGTCAAAAGTATTGAAGTACTAATGATGTCATCCATTTTATTTTGTTGCTTTTCACTGGCTTTATGGCAAGTCTTGTATTTGTTTTTTCTTTTTTTTTTATAACTTTTAGTAGTCAATTAGATTCAATTGATACAAAAAAAGAAAACCGGAAAATCAACATTGCTTGCAATTGAGGCCTCCACGGAAAAAAATTGGATTAGTGCATTTGACGATTTTAATTTTGTCGTAGGTAATTATGTTTGGTTCAAGTATGCCGAGCTCTAAGGGTTGAGTAATATTTGAAAACAATCAACAAGAAAAACAGTTCATTTTGTTCTAATTCCTAATTTTCAATCACAGGTAATCTGAAAATACGTGCGCAATATTTGTATGTCTACGCCTGTGCGTAGCATGTGGTTGAACATTAGTAATCTAATAAAATTTCATATTTCATAATTAATTGACCTCATTAATTGGGTTCAAATCTAAATAGATTTTAGATTAAATCATCTGTTTTTTTAATTAATAACCTTTAGGAAAGGGAAAGTAAATAATTGATGGGGCTCGTCAAGGAGTGTACATCTTGCGTATGTATTTTATAAATTGAATCTTTCAATTTAGGAACTCACGAGCAACAGTTGAAATTGTCCAGAATTTATTGAATTTTTCCTATCTTTTTGCTTAGTTCTATCTTATTTAAAGCAGAAGTGAGCTAATGGAGAGAGAAAACTATTTTGTTCACGAAGACCAAGACATTCACCTACCAAAAACATTTAAACAAGAGTTAATGCCACGAAAAATCTCAAATCTATACACATATGGCAAATTTACCCAAAACTAATTTTTTGACCATGAAAAATCCCAAACTGGTACATCCGTGACAAATTTACTACAAACTAATTTTTTAACCATAAAAAATTCAAAACTGGTACAACTCTGACAATTTTACCATAAACTAATTTTTTAACCACCAAAAACCCTAAACCGGTATACTTGCGACAAATTTACCCTCCGTTAAATTAAATTAATACCACGAAAAATCACAAACTAGTAAACATGTGACAAATAGAGGGGTAAAACCCCAAACTGGTATACCTATCAATTGTCACGTGTCATCTCATTTAGCAATTCGACAGTAAAATTTAACGGAAACTAACGGAGGGTAAATTTGTCACAGGTGTACCAGTTTTTGGTTTTTTGTGGTCAAAAAATTAGTTTGGGGTAAATTTGTCACATATATATCAGGTTGGGGTTTTTGTAGTCAAAAAATTGGTTTTAGATAAATTTGTCACATATGTACCCGTTTGGATTTTTCATCGTCAAAAAATTAGTTTGGGCTAAATTTGTCACGGATGTACTAGTTTAAGATTTCATGGTATTAACCCTTTAAACAAAGACCAAGAACAAGGTTTTTTTTTTTTGCATGCATACTTTCTCAGTAACCTTATGATTTTGATGTCTTCATTTTTATACGTTATTGGTGAATATGCGATCAATGTACGCCTTTACGCGGCAGTTACGTGCTGAAAATTTGCAGCAAGATGGGCAGCAATGATATGCTAAAGGGTGCTGAGGTAGTAGTTGATGATTGAGAATCGTGGTCCTTTGCACGATTTTCCTGTTCATAAGTGTGATGCCTACAGTATAATTTCTAGTAGATTGTACATTGTTAGTTGGCAATGCTTGACCCTTTTTCTTGTCCAGTGATGAATGAAGCTGGCCACAACTAATAAGACTTACAAACAAGCATCTTTGTGCAACTTGCACCGATTGAAATAAATGTTGACGATCCACCTGACAATGACATCTTACTTTCTATTATACATCTACAAGTCATCAAAGATAGCAAACTCTGACTGTTTGATATGGAGAACAGAAACACGCGCTTTGGGCTAACAAGAAATAAAGTAGGGTGCACCAACAAATCCATGAAGCAAGTTGCTTAATTTTACTTTGGAAATAGTAAACGATTCACAAAATCACCAACTAATCCATTAAGCAAGTTGCTTTGGGCTAACTTTTTTTGTCCTATCAAGCGATTCGCAATCATCAACAACTACTTCAACAATTTTCAGCGGATCATTGTCGCCCATCTTGCTGCGAAATTTTCAGCATTGTAGCTACCACATAAAATGCCTATAACTTAAAAACAAAAAAACAAACAAAACACTTGGGAAGTAAATAAATTTTTGACGAAGATATAAATGCCCCCTAAGTTGGTCATGTGAAGAAATATCAACTCTTATCCTCTTTCTAACGACAGCCAAAAGTCTTGATCAGGAGAAAGAGGAGAACAGTTGATTTCTGTAACTCAAGGAGACAATGTGCATCAAAACATGGTCTCTTCGGTCTAACTCAAAATTGCTGGTCGTGATAGTATACTCATCAAGTTCTTTTCATCAGGAAGACCAAGACTTTGCTAGATATCATCTACTTTTTTTTGCCTAGAAAGTGAAGAAAAAGTGAAAAAGAGATAGTGGGGAAAAAACTGTAATAAAATCCAGGAAGACCAATACTTTCCAGGGCGCAAATTGGCTTCACTGCTTCACTTTTCACATCTCTCTTCCATCCCTATGCGAATGTCTCTTTTTCCATTACTAGTAGACTTTCCACGCGTTACATGTCTTGCTTCAAATTAATAATTCTATAAATTAGTATAAGAAGGAAGCTAAGAAGGAACCCAAAAAGATCTTTCAATGGCCATGGGTGAATCAGTCACTGTAGAGAACACCCAAGGGTTATGGTGAAGCAAAGTGATCACGAGCTGATGGAAAGAGAAAATTATAAAGTCCAGGAAGACCAAGACTTTTCACCTACCGAAAAGATCAAACGAAGACCAAGACCTTTCAATTATGCTTTCTGTCCACAAGTGCTCTCTGTTCATGTACATAAACCATAAACTCAGGAAGGACCAAGACTTTACTGGACATCACGTACTTTTTTGTCTAGAAAGTGAAGCAGCAGCGAAAGAGAGCAAATGAAAAAAGACAAGAGACTTTGCAGGACGCAAATTGGCATTGTCGCTTCACTTCTCACACCCCTCCTCTTCCATCCATCCCTATGTGAATGCCTTTGTTTTCCGATTACTAGTACATGCCATGCTTAAAATTGATTGTCACCATAATTTTCGATCACAAAAATTCAAAAAATAAAGTATTGTTCTTGCCCCCTTTTTTGGCCAATTCCATTGCTTTCCCTTTGATCTCCTCACCCAAATCACCAAAAGTATATGCTCAGGTAGTTTGGGACACACGTGCATGTAATTGGAGATTTAATATATATTTAAGCCTAAGAATCTTCTTTTCTTCCGCTTGAAATATTTTAATGGATTATCAAACATTTGATTGAAGATAGAATTTTTGTATTTACTTGATTTTCTGTCGGTTGGACATTATGTTAATAAATAATATTATTATTACATGTAACTGTTTAGGCATACATAATTTAAAACTTTACTATGATCTCTTCTTATTCATTTGAAGAAATTCGCACATTTATATGTTCTTTATTTGTCTGTCGAGTCTACCAAATACAACTAATTTGCCAAATAGTGTATTTTTGTAGATAATAGTTTTTATGCTTTTTTGTAAGCCAATAAATGTTTCTTGATTTTCTTCGGAATATATTATTACAAGGCGATCATTAATGATAGTTGTAAAGTCATGGGATAATTATCTTAAATATCCTAAACCTATTGTACAATGACCACTTCAGTCCTAAACTTTTCAATTTGGCCAATTTAGTCTCAAACCTTTGACGATTTGTCAATATAATCATTCCGGCCAATTTTAGCCTAAAGTTACTGATGTGGATGCCGGCCATCCTGTGTAACATGATCGCAAATTCAGCATTTTCCGGTCAAAAAGGATTACATTGGCAAATCATCAAAAAGTTTAGGACTAAATTTGTTAAATTAAAAAATTTATGACTAAATTTAGGACTTTTTCGACAAATTTTCCCATAAAGTTACAT